TAAATAGCTTCCAATTTAGGAAAATCGTCAAGCAAAAACAAAAGAAAGGATGACATCAAGGACAACTGAAACCTGTAAATAATTTTTCAAAAACATTTAATGAATTATCCTATAGGATTTCATATCGCAGATATGAACATAAAATGTATAATAGGTTTCTTCGCTTCCTTTTGTTCTTACAAATCAGTCTGAGATTAGTTTCTTTCTAACATTACGACAGCCCACCCGGAGTTCGCTATAAATCTGTTATTTCTCTTTCGTAATTTGTCATTAATTGAAACCTAAATGAATACCGGCACTAACATTAAGTAGATCCTTTAATGAGATAAATATGTCATAACAAATGATCGCCATCACTCATTAACCGTGAAGCATCATAAACATCCTCAGTCAATATCACGCACACCGTTTTAACCGGAATTAAAAAATATATTTGTCAATAAAACGCGCAAAAATAAATCAGAAAAGTCGATTATTGTTATTTCCAGTCTATTTGATTGAAAGCACATGGGATTTAACAAAAACCGATTTGGTAAATTGATTATATTTTTGTGAAAAAGCCTCCACTTCAATCGGTTCATCAAAAACCGATTAAATTTCAACGTGAAAGGTGCAGCTTTATTAAAATTAATTTCATAAATTAATATGAAATTGATTCTATTCTTTATGATGTCGTTATTACGTTTGTCGCCCATTTGCGATTTACTAAATTGGATTTTCGACTCATATAAAATTCATTACTCTGTAGGTAATTATACTTGATTTGTTAATCTCAATATGAACAAGTATGGCTCCATTAATTTTCACATGATGTAGTCAAATTTGTGCAAAGCGTCGTATAAATCTTTGACTATTGTAAAACATGTAGTAAACCTGACACAACCAAAGAATATCCACATATAAAAAAATATTGTGTTATAAATATGTACATGCATTTTGAAAAACTACGAATTAAAGTCGCGACATCATTGCTCCTGCAAGCTAAAATCAATGGTGCTTGTCAAGTGTTCCTCGTCTAGCAGAATTAGCGGGAAACTATTGATATTTTACTATTAAATTTATTAACTGAAAATCACATATAATAAGTTATTGATTAGCTGTTAGTGGCCTTAGGAGCATAGACACCTGAACACCCGGAATAACTTTACACTAAATAGATCTTCTTACGTTAAGAGTCTTATCATACTTTTCAATAACTTGCTAATAGCGCCATAATGTTTGCTGTACCACAGTTTCCGAACAGGAATTTAGATGCATTCCATGTAGCACACCAGAATATGCGTGCAATTACTAAACATGGCAGCAACTCGATTATGCTATGAATATGTTTGCCATAACGTTCAACTCAGGTGAGACTTGTCCTTCTGAATTGTTCACTGTTGAAACAATTTCAGTTTCTCTATTTGTGGGTTCCAGAAATACTTGATTTAACATGTGGAATAAGCATTGGGATTTGAGGTCCCAGTTGATACTTGTTATACCTGCCTGTGTTCCCGTATTATATGCTATAACAATTCTCAATAATTGTGAGGTCACTTCAGAACTGTGTAAGTCGAAAAAAGATAGGAATGCTATAGTTTGATCATTACTTTCTGGCTATATGAAACTACAAGTAGCGTGTATTTAAAATTTACTGAATACACCTATATTTTTCTAGAGCGAAAATTCTCGAAAATTTTCTATGTATTGAAACATTTTGGTTTTAAAAGTAAGTAAATAAATCCGACCCATATTTTTTTACTTTATTTTTTTAAGTGCAGTGTCGATCTTTCCACCATTTTTGTTCTTGCTGATATGTGACCACATTAAAATGCTCTTTAATGAAAAATATAACACGAAATAGCGACGGCAATTTCTAATCAAAAGTGTGTTTCTAATTTGGAGTAATCTAGATACAGAAATTATAAATACTGATAGTGTGCTAGTTTTTAAAACCAGACTAAAATCATTTTGGTACATCCTACGTGTAATCTTTACCAGCGAGAAAAAATCGTTTCCTGCGGGCGATAGGTTTTTACCTCTGTTCAATATTCATAGAGGGTGTTTCAAAAAGGACTTTAAGAAGGGTCTGAAGAACTCGAAAAATATGGTAAAAAAAATGTTGATCGTCAATTACATTTGAACAAAACAAAATGTCTGACGGTAAAAAATTATAAGTTAGATAGTTATGTTGTACCTAAAAGTCTCCAATGACTGAATATTATTTTCTTTCAAGTCCTTCAAGTTGGCGGCTTTTCTAAACAACTGAACCATAAAAATAGCGAATTATGAAAAAAATAGCGAACATCAGGGATAATAAAAGACGAACAAGCAGAAGTAGAGCATTTGGGAATATTACGGTTTTTTTTTAAACACACGTATATTCAAATGGCCATAGAACGAAATGTGCCAATAATAACGATTAGTTCTTTCACAATTGAACAAAAAGTGAGTAGCACATGTATAGGCGTTAAGATTTACGAAAACATTTATTGTTTCCATTCATAATAGCGCAAATAACATTGCAGAAAAAAACGGCTGACAGCTCTTGCAAAATTCAAGCAGAAATTGATAAGATTTGGACACAACGCTTGTTGTAGGATGATTTGTAAACAAATTGTAATAAAATATTTATAAAGTACAGCTATCTTTGCTTGGAAACTGTGTACAGCATTAATTCACGACTGCATTTCGTTTATTGGTTGTTATTTAATTTTCTATAAATCATTGTCATTCTTTTTTCTTTTTCTTTAAATTTTTCATTATCATTATCGCGTTCGGTTATAAATTTATTGTAAACTCTCCCATAAATTTTCAGCACGTGTAAGTTGGTGTAATATAATTTTAATTTTTTTTTTCTTATTTCTTGCACCGTGGTTACGCCTTTACTGTTCTATTGTGAATTGTAAATTGTAACTAACACACAAAAAGTTCAGAGACCTATAGTTTTACAAATTCCGAAAGGATGGAGTCTTCTTCTTACTTCTGAAACAACTCTTTTAAATGTTCTGCTGTGCTTCGCAGTATTTGTATCATTGTTGTCTGTATTCCAACATTTCCTATTGCTTTACTAAACACTAAGGGATTAAACCAAGCAGATTAGACAGATTGAAGGCATGGGTTTCGTGTTTTTTTTTTCTTGCCGCGAAATTTAATTTTTACATCGGGACACCATAGTAGTTTTGACTAAATCAATTTAGTAAAAGGGCATCATATTGCACGCTTTATCTGGCATAAAATTTGGGAAACAATGTAAAATCACACAACAATTGTTATTAATTATATTTATTAGGAGGATTATATTTAGAAAAATTCTCCAAAATTGTTTGATTTTGATTTTTTTTCCTTGTTCTGTTTGGTTTTTGTATTCTTCTGTATAGTACGAAACCAAATCATTTTCTTCATATTACACTAACCTTCGCAAATTAATGGTATCTTCAATCGTAAGAAAGGTATTCGCTTTACCTTTTCTACCTGCACGACCTGGTCTACCCACCCTGTGCACATACGAAATGGTTGATGGTGGAAAATCATAATTTATTACTAGATTAAGACCTTTGAAATCAATACCACGAGCCATCAGTTCAGTACAAATCATAAGTCATAAGATTGTTCAGATACAGCATTTGCTAGGAAATTTCATGAGATCCGCTAGTCAGGACTCATCCTTTGTTTATCACTGTTATAATTAAGGTTTCTGGATGCTTATACTTAAGTGTTACATTATAACGCTTCTTAATTCTTCACACAAAATTGCTTATAGTTCATTTAAGGCACTTAAATGAACCTAACGTTGTCCCACTTTGGGAAAAGGACTGTGCAAATTGCGGTAGAATTTATAATAGCATGGACTGAGGTACAGGAGGATTAAAAATTTCTCCCCTTAAGCAGTTATTTTATTATCATCATATCATCATGACATCACGGAGACATATTTTCTAGCAACGTGGAAAGCTATATCACTGAAACGCATATTTTCTCACAACGCCGGATGCATTTAGTGTTTATTTATCATGTGTTTTGTTTGGGATAAGTTGAGGGCAGTCCACGATATAAACTCTCAAAGCTAAATGTTTTAAGTAATCAGTCACTTGGCTCAAGGCTTACTGTAACACCATGTAAACTGTTTGTTTGAATTGTTGATAAAGTGTGGCATAATTTATCATCATGTAACTTCTTTGTTTCAATCGTTGATAAAGTGTGCCATAATTTAACATAATATAAATTCTTTGTTTGAATTGTTGATAAAGTGTGGCATAATTTAACAACAGGTAAATTCTTTGTTCTGACAGCGGCCCTGTTGAAAGATTCTTTTCAAACTGATCACATGTTTGAACTGTAAAATCTCCTTGAACAAGTTAACAGCATTGTGGGTCATGGGGGACGCGCATTTTATTCCTTTGACTCAGACCATTATTTGCACAACGCCACAGGATTGATCGCATTTCTGGGAGACATATTTTGACGCGTATTTTTTGGAAAGACGCATTCGTCCGACGTCATTTTGTACCGCCATATTGCCTATTATGTTTTTATATGAGTTTGTTTGGGGGAATGTAAAAACGATGGCCCACAATGCAGCTGAATAACTTCACTTTTAAAAATTAACCAATAACTCCCATGGACATAAAATGTTAACTTCATGTAATTTTGTTAGCTTTGCAATTTTTCTGTCCCACAATTTTAGCCTCAGTAATTTTCTTTGTTGTCTACATTGTATAATTTAAAATTGAACGTAAATTTTCATGCTCTCCAGTTCCTAACTTCACGTAATTTTTTTGTCTGCACAAGTTTTACTTCACACCAGATTTTTATCAGTCTTTGCTAGTTATTTCTACCATGTAAATGTTTTATTGATTAATGTGTCCATCATATAAATTGTCTGATGTCCAATTTTAATCTCAGACGAGAATTCTTTGCTGTTTAAAATTTGGCGAATTAAAATGTTGTTTATTGCTCTTTTTGAGACTTTCACCCTTGTTCGGTTGTATTTTAATATCAAAGTTATAGAAATTGAACATTTAATTAGAATTGAGGTAAATCATAGAAGAGTACGTGGCAGAAGCGGAGTACGCGGTTCCTTGTTGAGCTGGCGACATCTGTACAAAAGACGCAGAGCTAGGATAGAAGTCAGGAGCAAGGCATTAACCGTTTTTATTTAGAAAAATTCTACAAAATTGTTTGATTTTGAATTTTTTTCTTTTCCTGTTTGGTTTTTGGACTCTTCTGTTGTTTTAATCCAAGTTTTTTTACTTTATCTTTTTTTATTATGTCATTAGCAGTTTTGCCAAGATTAGGTTGATTTTTGGAATATTTTTGCTCTTCACCATTTACAATACCTTTTTTTCTAAAAAAAAAAATAATAATAATAATAAAACATTTATGACAACGGCAAGAAGCGACGAAATTACCTTCTCTTTATTATGTTGACAAATTCATATCTTGGTCTAGGATTAATTTCACCTCGTTTAGGGGCCGCTTTTTCCAATTTTCTTCTTTCCTTCCTCGGTTTGTTTTTAATGTAAGAAGGTATTTGACAATTTTTCAGAACATATGCGATACTGAAAAAAGAAGTTGAATATAATACAAAACTAAATTATGTTATTCATATTACACTAACCTTCGCAAATTATTAGTATCTTCAATCGTAAAAAAAGTAATTGCTTTACCTTTTCTACCTGCACGTCCTGCTCTGCCCACTCTGTGCACATATGAAATAGCTGATGGTGGAAAATCATAATTTATCACTAGATTAATACCTTTGAAATCAATGCCACGGGCCATCAGTTCTGTACAAATTAATACCCAAATTTTTCCTTCGCGAAAACTTCTGACAGTATTGTCCCTCTAACAACAAAAGACATTTTAAATTTATATAATAAATCAATGAATTTTATGACAAAAAATTACCTGGAACTGTGTTCTGTCAGCATGAATTGCATCTACATTAATCCCATCATAAATAAGTTCATTGAATAACTGTTCCGCTCTGTTTTTACTTTGTACAAAAACAAGGACTGGAGGGCTTAAACCTTTTCTCACTAAATTTCTAAAAGCTAACAATTTTCCTTGCTCATTTCCCACAAACAGAAGTTCTTGGTCAACTGAATCAGTAGCGGCATTTCTAAAATATTACTAAATAATTTTTTAATCACAACAAATTAATAATAGTCGAACCTTTGACCAACTGTAAGTCGAATTAAACCTTTCATGTTGTGAACACACCACTTGGCAACAATTGGAGTATATGTGGCACTAAACATTGCTATTTTCTTTTCTTTATTTGTACAAGAAAGCAGAATTTGGTCTAACTGATGCCTAAAATTTCTATTTCCTGCAGTTTCAAATAACTTATCAGCCTCATCTACTATTAACCACTGAATACTAAAATACAGATTTAACAAAGCATCAAAATATTTCCAAATATCTTACTTGGCTAAAGAGATTGCAGGAGGTTCTTGGTTCAAAAGAAAACATAATCTATTTGGTGTAGTAATCAAGATATCTAAAAGAAATAATTTAGAATTCATCTACCTAACAAAAAAGGATGATATTACCAAATTTTTGTGAACTACTTGGACCATACTGAGTCATAGCTTTATTTATTTTGCTAATTATGTGGACCCTAAAACCTATTCCTTCTGACAAACGTACACATTCTCTTTGTGTTTGTTTGGCCAACTCTCTTGTGGGACACAAAATCAGAGCACGAAACCCTTTGTTTTTTGGTCCCTCCAAATCATGAATTATGGAAACCAGGAAAGCCGCAGTCTTGCCAAACCCAGTAGGAGCACATGCCAACAGATTTCTACCCTAATATTAATTTAATAGTAATAATCAAGATTTTAATATATTTATTGTTAAAAAATACCTCCACCATTATTGGAATTGCTTGCTTTTGTATAGAAGTTGGTTCCACATATCCACAATTTTTCAAATCTTCAATTACAACTTGTTTAATGGGGAAATCGTCAAAACATCTTGTTGGTTCAGGGACGTGTTTACCAACAACACTAATATGATGCACATTTCGATAATGGTTGATCTGAAAATAATGTATAAACATCTAAATTCGTTACTAATGTAAGCATTGCGTACTTCTTCTTGTTTTAACTTTTTCTTTTTGATTTCGTCGCTTTCGGGGTTAGAATGTTTACGTTTTTTACCCTTTGTTTCAGTTTTCAATGTGCCCAATAGTGTTATTGTATTATTGTCTTTTTGTTTTTTGCGGGGTACATCTGGTACTACTACTCTTTCGACTTCCACTTTGACACGACTGGAATCGTTCTGTAACACGTAATGAAACATAAAATCGAACAGTGAACCACTGAAATTGACCTACACTTTTGAAGTTATGCTCCCTAGAAAACTTTGCTCCTCTACTTAACAACTTAAAGATGTGATGCGCATCCATTTTTGGCACCACAAAACGCAAATGAAGTTACACAACCACCCGTTTGATTATGCTCCTCACATGTATTCACATGGTACAAGTAAATATGGTATGGGCATGCGCATGTTCTGACGTCACCTGGGTGTTCTATGAGAGCGGGAAATTTAAATCTACATTTCGAAACTGCTTAATTATGTCTGACTGATTTTGCACAATACTTAATTAATACATTTTGCTACCAGTTGCATTTTTATTTTCAAGCTTCATTGAAAGTTTGAGTAAAATAATTTAGTAAAAGGATAACACCCTGCGTGCTTCATACCTGTCTGACATAAAATTTGGGAAACAATGGAAAATAACACAATTAAAATCATTAACCGTTTTTATTTAGAAAAATTCTATAAAATTGTTTGATTTTGAATTTTTTTCTTTTTTTTCTTTTCCTGTTTGGTTTTTGGATGCTTCTGTTTATCAGTTTGTTTTAACGCAGGTTTTTCTACTTTATCTTTTTTTACTATGCTATTATCAATTTTGCCTTGATTTTTGGAACATTTTTGCTCTTCTCCATTTACAATACCTTTTTTCCTAAAAAACAAATTTAATAATAAACCATTAATTTGCGGCAATAGGCGGCCAAATTACCTTCTCTTTATCTTGTTAACCAATTCATATTTTGGTCTAGGGTTAATTTCATCTCGTTTAGGGGCAGCTTTTTCCAATTTTTTTCTTTCCTTCTTTGGTTTCTTCTTCATAGTTAACATATAACTAGGTACCTCACACCCAGAATCTTTCAACACGTGAGCAATACTGAAAAAAAGGTGAATATAACCATCAAACTAAATTATTTTCTTAATATTACACTAACCTTCTTAAATTGACGGTATCTTCAATTGTAAAAAAGGTAATTGCTTTACCTTTTCTACCTGCACGACCTGCTCTGCCCACCCTGTGCACATATGAAATAGCTGATGGTGGAAAATCATAATTTATTACTAGATTAACACCTTTGAAATCAATCCCACGGGCCATCAGTTCTGTACAAATTAATACCCAAATTTTCCCCTCGCGAAAACTTCTGACTGTATTGTCCCTCTAACAACAATAGACATTTTAAATTTATATATCAAATAGACGAATTTTATGAAAAAAAAAATTACCTGTAACTGTGTTCTGTCAGCGTGAATTGCATCTACATTAATCCCGTCATAAATAAGTTCATTGAATAACTGTTGCGCTCTGTCTTTACTTTGTACAAAAACAAGGACTGGAGGGCTTAAACCTTTTCTCACTAAATCCCTAAAAGCTAACAATTTTCCTTGTTCATTTCCCACAAACAGAAGTTCTTGCTCAACTGAATCAGTAGCGGCATTTCTAAAACATTACTCAATAAATTTTTAAATACAACAAATTAGTAATAATCAAACCTTTGACCAATTGTAATTCGAATTAAACCTTTCATATTATGAACACACCACTTGGCAACAACTGGGGTATAAGTAGCACTAAACATTGCAATTTTCTTTTCTTTATTTGTACAAGCAAGCAATATTTGATCTAGCTGTTCTCTGAAACCTCTGTTTCCTGTTTCAAATAACTTATCAGCTTCATCTATTATTAACCACTTAATGCTAAAAGACACTTTTAACTAACTGGAAAACAGTTTTAAATATCTTACTTAGTCAAAGAGATTGCAGGAGGATCTTGATTCAAAAGGAAACACAACCTATTTGGTGTAGTTATCAAGATATCTACAAAAAAATGAAAATAAAATTCACACAAGAAAAATTATCCTGAAATTTACCAAATTTTTGTGAACTATTTGGGCCATATTGAGCCACAGCTTTATTTATTTTGCTAATTATATGCACCCTAAAACCTTTTCCTTCTGATAAACGTACACATTCTCTTTGTGTTTGTTTGGCTAATTCCCTTGTAGGACACAAAATTAGAGCACGAAATCCCTTTTTCTTCGGTCCCTTCAAATCATTAATTAACGGAACTAGAAAGGCCGCAGTTTTTCCAGACCCAGTAGGCGCACAAGCTAACAGATTTCGACCCTAATATTAACTCATTAATAGTATTCAAGACCTTAACACTGTTAAAAATACCTCCAGCATTATTGGAACTGCTTGTTTCTGCACAGGAGTGGGCTCCACATACCCACAATTTTTCAAATTCTCAATTATACCTTGCTCAACAGGAAAATCGTCAAAATTTCTTGTTGGTTCAGGAACGTGTTTACCAACAACGCTAATGCGGTGAACGTTTCGATAATGGTTGATCTGGAAATAATATATAAGTATAAAAATTCATTGGAAATGTAAGAATTGAGTACTTCTTCTTGTTTTAACTGCTTTCTTTTAATTTCGTCATTTTCGGGATTAGAGTGTTTACGTTTTTTCCCTTTTGTTTCAGTTTTCAATGTGCTCAGTAGGGTTATCCCATTATTGTCTTCTTCTTTTTTTGGGAGTACGTTTGGTGCTGCTACATCTTCTTCAGCTTCCACTTTTACAGAAGGAGTGAGATGATTCTATAGCACGAAATGAAATTTAAAAGCAAATATGTAAGTGAATCAAATTAACTTACTCGTTTGGGGTTATGTTCTCTTGAAAATTTTGCTCCTACACTTAGTTTTCGAAAAATGTCATAAGCATCCATATTTACTGCCTCAGGAGTCTTTTTTTATTGAACAAAACACGATATAACAAACAAATATAAGCTTTCTAGCATCTGAAACATGCCAGATTTAGATAGAAAAAAGTGAGGTTACATTACAGCAAGGTTAGCAGGTTAGCTGTCAATGATTGTTGCTATCTTGGTATCGAAATTATTACAAGTCGAAAAATTCTTTAGCAAAGTTCTTTACTGAAAAATATAAAAATTGTCGTTAAATAAATAAAGCAATAAGAATATTGTTTATATGTAATATTAGGTTTTTATTTTCGATTCTTTACATTTTCTACATCAGTCAGTTCGATCCAAAGTAACTAACGTCAACATTTGTCAACAAAACGTGAGCGAAAAGTAAGGTTATGTAACTTCCAAAAATTAAGGAAAATTTAAAAAACAATTTTTCCTGAAGATGCTTCACCTCCGAAGATGTACCTGGCGCATGAAAAACCTCCGCGCCTATTACACTGTTAAAAATGAGCAACTTCCCAAAGACCCCCAGCAAGTAGCGAAACAAATCTTTTCGAAAATTAAAGCGACCGGACCTATTACGGTCGCAGATTACATGAAAGAAGTACTAATAAGCCCCGTGGGGGGCTACTACATGCACAAAGACGTGTTTGGTGAAGCAGGCGATTTCATAACCTCACCTGAACTTAATCAGATGTTTGGTGAAATGATAGCTATTTGGTTTTTAAACGAGTGGTCTAAAGTGGGGTCACCGAAACCTTTTCAAATAGTTGAATTAGGACCCGGCCGAGGTACTTTAAGCCAGGATTTACTGAGAGTATTTGATCATTTTGGGGCTTTGAAAGGTGCTACTCTGCATTTGGTGGAAGTTAGTCCGGTGCTTAGTGATATTCAAGCGCGGAGATTGTGTATTCAGACTGATAATATTCTTGACCAGAAGTCTGTGATATATAGACAAGGAATTACCCATCAAGGTATTCCAGTCAAGTGGTACCGGCAAATAGATGATGTTCCAAACTGTTTTACGTTATTAGTAGCCCATGAATTTTTTGACGCTTTACCTATACATAAGTTTCAAAGAATTAACGATAGGTATAAGGAAATTTTAATTGACATTGATACTAGTAAAGATTATTCATTTAGGTAACTTTTGTGTTTTGTTTTTATTTTTTAATTATTGTTTGATTGTTTTTAGGTACGTTTTGTCTAAAGAAGACACACCAGCGTCAAAACTTTTTATTAAATCTAGTGAAAATCGTGATCATTTTGAAGTGTCTCCTGAAAGCCTTGTCATAATCAAGAAAGTGGCTGATAGACTTGAAGCAGATGGCGGATTTGCCCTCATAGCTGACTACGGGCATAATGGAAACGGCACTGACACATTTAGAGCTTTCAGAAAGCATAAATTACATGATGCCCTCATAGAACCAGGAACTGCTGATTTAACAGCTGATGTTGATTTTCACAGACTTGCACATAGTGCTTCAGAAGCTGGGGGAGTCATTTGTCTTGGCCCTAAAGCTCAGAGGGACTTTTTATTAAACATGGGAATTGAACACAGGTTCAGAGCTCTAGAAGAGAACGTAAAACCTGAACTAAAGGAAGGATTACAGTATGGGTATAAAATGATGACTGACAAGGAACAAATGGGAGAAAGGTTTAAATTTTTGGCCCTATTGCCGGCAGTTTTAAAGAAAATGGTTGAAAAGTATCCAGTGGCGGGATTTCATTAACTTATCTTGATTGATATTCAATCAAACTATTTATTTATGTTAAATAAAGTCTATTACCAGAAATTGAATTTTCGCGCCTTTTTTGCGTGTTTACATATGGTTTACATATTGAGTTGTTTATCTCTATTCAGTCGCTAAAACTCAATGGATTGAAAGGAGATAGCGTACGAAACGCGAACTGTCATGTGGGATGTGTTATCGGGCAACCCACTAAATTTCCTTTTTAGTAATTGAGCACATGTATAATTTTAAAATTCGTACAAACTTTTATTTATATTTTTGTGACATAGAAACCACAGCAAAATGCAGGTAAGTACAAAGACTTTAATACATCTAAAGCTTAATCGCGGGTTTTATATTCCAGGACCCGAATGAAGATACTGAATGGAATGACATCCTTAGATCCAAGGGGATCATTCCCCAGAAAAAAGAAACAGAAGTAACAGAGGATCAAATCGTGTCTATGCTTGAAGAAACGATTGAAGAAAAGACAGCAAGTGGGTTTTGTTTATGCTTTAACCTTCCAAATTCTATCTGTAATTTTATAGCTGGCAAAGATTTCTCAAAACTTGACTTGGATGAATTGGACGAATTGGAAGATTCTGAAGATGAGGGTGTTCTTCTAGAATACAGGAATAAGAGGATAGCTGAAATGAAAGCTCTAGCTGAACGCTCTAAATTTGGAACTGTGGGTGAAATCTCAGCACAAGATTATGTACTAGAAGTGAACAAAGCAGGAGAGGGAATTTGGGTTGTGCTGCATTTGTATAAACAAGGGTGGGTATTTAATTTTACAAATTTGCAAGAAATGATGAGCATTTTTAGAATACCACTGTGTGCTTTAATCAATGAATATATGAAACAAGTAGCTGCCAAATACCCTACAGTGAAATTTCTGAAGTCAATTTCAACAACTTGTATTCCTAATTATCCAGACAAGAATTTACCAACAATATTTGTCTACTTTGAGGGTCAAATGAAGGAACAAATAGTGGGCCCTTTGGAATTCAGAGGACCAAATTTAACACATGACGGTTGTTCATAATTTGTAAAATAGTTACTTGTGTTTATAATATTTTTTTAGAGTTTGAATACTTGATTGGTAAAACGGGTGCAATTGAAACTGACATAAAAGAAGATCCACGACCTGTAATTAAGGACAAAATGTTTGCAGATCTGGCTAGCACTAATGACTGGTAGAAAATCATACTAAGAAGTAGCATTCTATGCAGGCATTGAGTACTTCAGAATAAAGTTAAACTTTTATATTTATTGTTAATTTATCAAATAAACGAGTATCATGAGATTTTGCACTTGTCAAATTTTGCAACGCCCTCTAGGAGTGACAGACTATTGACATTTGACATTCGTTGAATGTCAAAACAGTTTAAATTTAAATGCCCAGAATACGTTATTGTTTGAAATATTTTATTTAAAGAAAACTATTAATAATGGATATTTTCTGATAAATAATATATAACATTTCAATTGTGTGCGTGTGTGTGTGCGTCTACGATTCGTACTTAAAAAATACTAGTCACCAGTAAAGAAAATTCAAAATGGTACGCTACACAGAATTAAAAGGCTTGTACGATGTGGACAAAACTATAGGATGTGGAGGCTTCGCAAAAGTAAAACTAGCAACACATGTTGCAACAGGTGAAAAAGTCGCAATAAAAATAATGAGTAAGACTGGACTTGGAGATGATCTTCCGAGAGTCAAACTGGAGCTAAAAGCACTCAAATCTTTTGCTCATCAACACATTTGCAAGTTATATCAAGTGAATATACAAAATGCAGAGAATCCAAGACCTATTATATTTTTCCGTAATTTTAGGTTATCGAAACTGAAACTCACTTTTTCATTGTGATTGAATACTGCTCAGGGGGTGAACTTTTTGATCACATTGTTGAAAGAAATCGCTTAAGTGAGTCTGAAAGTCGTACTTTTTTTAGGCAAATTGTTTCAGGAGTAGCGTACTTACACAGCTTGGGTTATGCACACAGAGATTTGAAACCTGTAAGAATATTTTTGTTGTTTGTAATGGTATTTCATTTGTGTTTTATTAGGAAAACGTATTATTGGATAAAGATCAGAATCTGAAATTGATCGATTTTGGTTTGTGTGCGCGTCCTGAAGGGGGCATGGAGAGTCCTCTGTTTACTTCATGCGGTTCTCCAACGTATGCAGCCCCAGAATTAGTTCTAGGTAAACAGTATTTGGGACCTGAAGTAGATGTCTGGGCAATGGGGGTACTTCTGTATGCACTTCTTGTAGGAGCGTTGCCATTTGATGATCTTAACATTGATAGTCTGTACAAAAAAATCTTAGTAAGTTTATTAAATTTTATAGTCTCACTAATTTTAATTGAATGTTCAAGTACATAGTAGTAATTAAAGACACGTCAGCGGTTAAAATTTTTCCACTGAGTACTTATTTTTTATCATCTATTAAAAAAATAAATGGTTTCTGCTGTTTTTTCTGAACAATTTTCACAAAATGTGGACACAATATAAACTTGGTGCTGCTTTCCTCCTAGTACAAATAGCGTTTTCAGAACGGAAAGTACGAAGAACCTACCTTCATGTCGCCTGAAAGCCGTCGTTTTATAAAATCTATGTTACAAGTAGACCCCAAAAATCGTATCACACTAGAAGAAATCCTCTCCCATACCTGGCTTACTTCGGGGTATCTAGACCCTGTAGACTACACGTCAACAGACGCCAAAAAATACGACAAAGAATGCATTAGCGTGATGTCTTCTTACTATGAAGTGAGCCCTGAGCGAATGTGGCGACACTTGAAAAAATGGAAATATGATTATCATACAGCCACTTATTTTTTACTGTTGTCTAAGAAAAAAAGGGGTGCTACTTTAAGATTGAATACTCTGCCTGCTCAAATGTACTTAAAAATGAGAATTGAGGATACTCCTAGGAAAGATAAAACGCAGTTACAGCCACTAATGATAATTCAGCCAGATGAACTGAAAAATAACGAACTTGTGACAACTCCATATTTTGATTGTGAAGCTGATGTTGAAGTTTGTACGCCTAAGAAAGCTGAAGAAACTTGTTCTAGTCCAATTCAGTTTGTACAGCCCGCAAAACCTACAGGTGTTAGGAAGCCCCTGAAGAGAATGAGGAGCCCTACTTTAGGTGGCGAAAATTCTCCTGGTAAGTCAGTGAGATACTAAATTTCTGTATGATTTGTGTTGATTTTCGTAACGATGTGTGGTTTTCAGTTCCCGCTAAAAAAATTTCCACGGACAAATCCACGCCAAAAACGCCTGAAAGGTGAGAGCTTCTTTTACATGATCTAATAGCCCCCATTTAAACTTATTAATGTGTTGGTGCAAGTCTAAATTCCAAGTTTTTTTTTTTAGGAAGAGAATTCATGTGAATTCAGAAACACCAGGATCAGCTAGACGTGTCTTAGGAAGCATAGAGAGGTCCTTACACAAGGTGCGCTATGTGTTGACACCGAAAAAAACAGCTGCGGACGGTATGACGGAGCCTGTGTTACTTAGTACCAAGGTAAATCAATTATGAGACAATTACCCATTTATTACTCTCCTTTTGAACACCTGTGTAAGTACAAAAACCATGCTACTTTTTCAAAATGCGTGAAACTTGTACATAAACGAAGGATTGCTGCATATATGGCAAAGATAACAGCAACTGACACGACACTTGGTGACGTAGGGGATCGGTGATTCTGATCAAGGCGATCGAGCTGTCCTCAGTTATGTGACGATATTAACGGGTTACAATATAATATTCGTTTCCGCGGGACATTTGACCGCATCATCCACTACCTTGCAACTCGCTCGTTCCACGAAAAAGTAGATGCCCAGGCCGGGACTAAAAAAAAAAGAGGTGTACGAGACGATGTTGATTAAAAAATATCCGAGGCATGTTAAATTAAGTTATAAAACTGTCTGCGTCGACATATTTTTTATACAGGTAACCGCATTAACCTGAAATTTGTACTCCCGAAGTTTTGTGGTGATTAAACGAATTACTGAAACTACTGTGATAACCCAAACTTCCTGCCTTTAAATTGACCTTGAAAAAGTTTGAAAGACCCGCGAAAAATTCAAAAATTGGCTTTGGCTGTGATCGTCTAACAAATGGGAACCTACGTTGTGTTTTTTTTTTTGTTTTTGACAAATGGCGGGAAGACGTTCTTTCGTACAAGTGTGCATACACTGCGTGTGAGTCGATAGCGCAAGAAATAATAGACAAAAGTTTGGGAGGGGCCAAAATGACACCCTTCCTTAGGAGGACAAGAAACGAAGAGCGACAGTGACTCATCCTGCCCTTCTGGCGGTCCCGCAGGGCCAAGTCGTCATCAGTCGTCATCCCCAAAAACCCCCTAGGGCTATATTCACAGATATATTACATTTCAGACACCTTAAGATATATGAAAGAAAAACACTCGCGAATTGACAGACATACGCCAAACCAACAAACGCAAAATCCTATACGTCTGTTTGGAATCAATGTAAATATTTGAACATCACAAATTTAACAAAAACAAAGCAAAATCTGAATTAAAGTAACTGGATGCAAATACACAAGTTATTACGGGCGTGTGGCGGTAGATTTTAAAGTTACGGCAGTTAACAGGAGCACAACAAAAGTACCCCTGCGGCGTGCTAGCGCATGATACAAGTAAATATGGTATGGACATCCCATGAACCAAAACTCGTCTTCTTCTGCGCAACGTTATCTGACGTCATGTGGAATGAATGACCTTCCACTTCTGTGTTGACATCTGATGTCAAATATCAATTTTAAGGGTTATGAGGCAGTTATGAGTTTTTGTGGTTATGAGGGTTATTGTTTATTGTTACCAAACTGATGCGTAAAAACAAATTGGTGGTTTGCTAGCGACCTAGCGTTGTTAAAAAAATAGCGGGGATGATAGCAAATAATAAGAAAATATGTATATTTCAGCCGAAGATACTCTGCAGAATAAAAATTGTGAAACATTGCAAATTGTTTTTACACTGATTGTGAATAGTAATAATAATTGTACAAAGAATCTCGTACATTTGCTAAGTACAAACCAATAATTTAATACACAACTATTAACCAGTATGGCGATCCTGTTACTGTCATTTGGCCGTCAATTGCCTTGGTGGTAACACGTCTTCCACGACTGTTTGCTGGTTACCGGTGACACTTTCTCGTTGAATAGGGCTGGAGTTACTTTGGGACTGGAATAGTGTTCTTTCCGGTCCGTTAACTCAATAATTCTAGTACAGTCTGTCGTAACCTCAAATCGTAAACACATCAACCTTTCGTTGACAGATAGCGAAAATTACTAGCCTCGCGCTATCTTTGTTTAACACATAGGTTAGGTTCCTCTCTGTCGAATTCCGACCACAGGCAGTTTGCCGTACTTTCTAAAAGTAATAGTAGATCTAGTGACTTTAGTTGAGCTCGGTAAATATTTCAATTTCCCGCCTGAATACAGCCAGGTGACGTCAGCAAACCTGCGTATGTCCATACCATATTTACTTGTATCATGTGCTAGCACAAGTTGAATTTGGGGCTACCGGTCTGGAGCTGTTCTCCCCCTACGACGGTGATTCTATCTATAGCAAAGCCTACCCGCACGCATCCCCATTACGATCATGCTGTGCGAAACTAGGCCATTACGGTCGCCAGACCCGTAGGTGGATCTCGGCTAGGGACAGAAGCCGAGAACGTTACAACATGGGCGGCCGCCCCTGAATCTATCCAAACCTGTGGACTTTTACAGGTGACCCGATAAATCTCGCCAGCTCGACTAGGAACCAAACTTCGCTTCTGCCACTTTTTCTGTGTTATTTAACCTCAATTCCTTTTTTAAATATTCAATCTCTTATAACTCTGATATTAACAACAACTGAACAATGTTAAAGTTTCAAAGAGCAATAAACCACATTTAAATTCACCATACAATCTTGTGAAATTTTAAACAACAAATAAATCTTATGTGAGATAAAAATTGGCGATCAAACAATTTATGATAGAAACATTCATCAACAAAGTATTTACAAAACAAACCTAGCAAGGATTTATGAATCAAAAGATCTGGTGTGAAATGAACTTGTATAAATAGAAATATTATGTGAGGTTAAAACTGTAGAACATGTAATTTACGTTCAATTAAAATTATACAACAAAGGAAAATTACTGAAGTTAAAACTGCGAGATTGAGAAATATTGTATGAGGTAGAAAATTGCAGAGTTAACAAAATTTACATGAGATTAATAATTACCACACTTTAACGATTCAAACAAAGAGTTTACATTATGTCAAATTGTATCATGATCTAAGTGATTGGTTACTTCAAAAAAACAATTTACTTTGAGAGTTTAAAATATCACAAACTGGTTACCCCAACAAAACACATAATAAACAAACACAAAAATATCCAATCATCGCCCCAAGGGAAAAAGCGTCTCGGTGATGTAAATTTTGAAATCGTTGGGAGGAAAAAGCGTCTCGGTGATGTAAATTTTAAAACGTTGCGAGGAATTGCCTCGATGATGTATATTTTAGCGGTGGAAGGAATATGCCTCGTTGATGTTATTAATCTCTAGCGTTGCGAGGACGAACCTCGATGAAGTAATCAATCTGTAGCGTTGTGAGGGCATGCCTCGATGTATTAATCAAGCTGTGGCGTTGTGAGAGCAGGCCTCAGTAATGTAATCATGATAACGACGATAATAACGATGATAACCGCCTAAGGGAAGAAATTATTACAAACCTCCCCGCCAGTTCGCAGTATAATGAACTTTGTTTAACTGCCGTAAATGAACTATTAACAATCTTTTGTGAAGGATTAAGAAGTGTTATAATGTAATACTTACGTATATGCATCCAGAAACCTATTCGTAATGAAACAACAAAGGTGTTTTTCCTGACTAAGTGAATTTCATGAAATCTTCTAGCAAGTGGTTTATTTAAAGAATCCTGATTGTTAAATTGTGTTTGCACTAGCTGACGATTAAGAAAAACTAACTTGATTGGTGAATTTACAAACAATGAAACAAATTTACAGCACGTGTTTCGCGTTGAACGGAAATCCACATTTTTTCTGATTAAAAGGCCGCAAGAATTAACCGCGCGGGTTGAGGACAACAGAGTGACGTCAGTTACGATTGATTGTCGTTAAACAAAGGCTTCCTCTACCTAGCTCTTACCACGTGTTTACACTCACACCAGCACATTCAGTCTGACGCTACGCCATGCTGTTTTGTCTCTACCAACCTTCTAACTAAAATCCCCTAGCGCTACCAAGCCGCGATCTAACTCAATAATCATGCAAAACTAGCCCCTAAGCGCTATTAATTGTCCGACTACCAAGCAAGCGTTTCCGTGCACCAGGTTGCCTATGTTTAACGATTTTTTTTGATGATTTTTTTTTTTCAAATTCAAATTATTCAAATGTGATTTCGCGCCGTTGTTAATTAATTTCAGCGCGAAAATTTTGATTTAAATTCGGTCACCACACTACAAAACAAACAATTTTGCATTATGTTAATTTATGCATTAATTCGAGTTATTCATTAAATTATAAAATGTTTTCATAGATTACATCGTGGACTCAATAAAGTAAACAACATGCACAAATTTAATACTGTAAAAATTAAAATATCCATTCGAGAATAAATGTTCAGTTTCAAGTTTTGAGAAAATAATTCGGTTGTAAGAAAATACAAGACAACATAAACATAAATTACACCTCGTATTTCGAGTCCACAATGATATTAATTTAACTGATGATAATTTCTAATTTTAATAATTTAACAACTTAAGCAAAAACATCGGCAATACTTCGGAACTGCTAGCCAATTTCTTTGGCCCGGGCTCGAGGCGGCAATACAAAACGCACCTCTAGAAATCCGGGAGCGAGACAATCTAATCTATCCGGCCGAAACTAAAGCTCTTTTCACAAAACTTATCCTCTATGTACAATAATTATCAAACCTACAATCAAGGAAAAACATTATCTCTACGAATAAGTTCCGCGTCAAAGACTGACATATCTGGTGCTTAATGGATTTCGATCAAGAACGTTCCAATTTTATACCTTCAAACAACGGGATTCCACGTTATTGCTGGGTGCCATTGTGTAAAGCGCATTAAACCGAAAATGTGCTCGGTTCATGGGGGTTTTAGAGAATTTTTTATGGTGCGGATATATATTCCAGGGTAATTTAGGAATTCTGGGTAATAAGATGGGACGGCATTATTCAACAGAAATTACATCTCCGTTTTCTGGAAAAATTCCCATCAGAAAAATGCGACGGCTGCCTCTAATATACCCGAAAAGAGTCAATCCGACAATGCGGTGTTTTGTACGTGTTACCATTGTTATAAAAAAAATAAGTTCAATCTGAATAAATTAATTTCCGACACGTGTTTTTATATGAACATTTACTTGATTGAAGGTAATTTGTATTAGAAGAACGAACTGTCAAAAACTTAGCATGAACTGTGAATTTATAATTAATAAAACAAAAATTAGACGTGTTGATGGGATAGTCAAAGTTTTACACATTTCAGATTAGAAAATCATTGTCTGGTCTTAGAGATGGATCATTTTAAGTTCAACATGGTGAGTCATCAGAATCTGACAACGGACTGTCAGTCAGTAGCGTAACATGCACACTTCAGAAGGAGGTGGTTTTCAATTTTTTTTTTTTAATCGCAAACAATAACATAGGGAAACATAAACATAAGTGAACTGATCAATACGCTAGCACGAATGCGAATGAATCTGTTAGGCACTAATCTAAACAGGTACCCTTACGCTAGAAAAGTTCACTATGACAGAGAAACGATGACGAACGCCGACGCTATGGCGTCGAATAGGATTCACTTCTATTTATTAATAATAATTGCCCTTTTATGAAATTGCAAAGTTTTACGTAGCAATTTTCACACATGTTTCACTCACAACAAACTACAAGTTCTTCAAAATTACTTCTCGCCTACCACTAGGAAACCGAGAGTGATATTTCTCTCTGGTTGTCTTCGTTATTGAATCATTTTTCTTATTTTTAATTTTTCAAATGCGGTTTTGCTATGCTGTGTTTTTCCTCTCAGCGCGAAGTGTAAATTTCAAATTTGGGACATTACAATGTTATTACTATTTTTAAACATTTCAAATGATAAGTGAGACATGTATTTGTTAGAAAATAAGTATTGAGATACACTAATAAGGCATCTTAAGTGACAGTAAGTTCCAAGAACCTCTACATTATTTTTATAGCATAAAAAATCACAGTTTCATTCTCATATGTTTTATACGTGACATTTCCATTTAGGGGGAATTGGATTTGCGGAATCGCAAGCCCCGTTGCTATGGGAATTGCGATGCCAGTTAATGCAATTTGCGATTGCGATTCGCTATCGCAATTATAGTCATCGCATCTTCCATGGCAACGGGGACTTACGAGATCGCAAATACAACTTGAAATTGGTCCGCTATTGTATTAGAACCATGAACAGTTAAAAACCTTAACATGAACCGTGAATTTACAAACAATAAAATAATTTTGTTTCCGTTTAACCTCACTACGAGCAATTTTAAGGAAAATCTTTATGAATATGTTTTGGCATCCACATCTATCTAAAAATCTGAACAGAGCCTAATTTTGGTACCTACCTTTTATTTGTGTTTTTTAATTCTTTTAAGGATTTGTGCAACGTTTCAACCACGCAGTGTAATGATCCTGAATACGTAATTACGGAACTATCCAAGGCTTTCCAGCGCAAAGGATTCCACTGTGTCCGCAAAGGGTGAGTAACTTCAATCGTGTAAATGTTTTTATTAGACGAGAGGTCACATTCAAACATTTCCGTATCTAAATTTTCTCCCGTGTTTGGTAGTAAACTTTTTTTACTGAATATTTCTAATTTACTTTATTCTCTTCAGATTTATCCTACGAGGAAAAGTCGAAGCAAACGTGCTGCATCCTTGCAATGGTTGTTCTTTCGAGCTCGAAATATGTTATCTTCCATGTATGGGACCAAGTACAAGAAGTCAAAGTTGCGATACTCCACCCAAGTCCATATTAAAGAACGGACCCTTGAACTTTAGTACTCCAACGAACGCAAACTCGACTACTCCCATATCGGTCAAGAAAAGAGACAAAAAGATCGAATTGCTACACAAAGACAGACATTTTGCGTTCGTCGGTATTAAAAGAAAACGCCTAAAAGGAGATTCTTGGTGTTACAAGAAAGTATGTGAGGAAGTACTGGCAGTCACAACGAAGGATTTACAACAGGTCACAGAGTCTACTGTGTGATTTTAACAAAAATTATTTATGTTTATTATACTCATTGAATGGTGGTGCGGAGAATTTTGTCTTTATTTATATGTATATCGGGATTATAGAAGTAAAATAAATATTTTAAAGGAGAGTATAAATTGTTTATCCTTTCAACCCACCTTCCATACTGTTAAATGGAATTGTTCACAAGTCCGCGGTTCAATTTTCTTTTTAATTTGCGGTTTAACGAAATTTACGACTATTAATTGTTATGTTTATTAACACACCACGTTGTAAAAACCACAGTTTGACCACAAACTATGCGAATCATCAGTTCGTTAGAATTTTGAGGTTCAGGTGAAAGGTGGTAATGATTGAATCACCCATTTTCTAACAATTCACTTTTATTTTTAAAAAATTTATATACACATTTGAAAAATAGAGCTAGTTATAATATCACATTTCACTGATGCGGATATTACAAACCACACCCGTTTGAAGTAAATGAAATAAAAACTTACCTAGCTTGATACTACCGAGAATTCCACATCAACTTTGATAAAATTACATCTATACTTCAGTTCATGTTTAGTCGACAGCATGTGCCGCCTATAAGCAAGACACATTTAATGAGCCGAAATATTGGTGTTTTTGGCCTCTATCGATTTCCGAAAAAGTTCATACGCATTTGATTTCTGCACCTATTGACATTAAAATTTTATAGTTTCCTTACGTTTTCTAATTGTGTTAAATAAATAAAAATAAAATTGTAACAGCATTAAATGCAGAACGATAAAAATTGTATCTACTTCTTCGGAAATGAGGACACAAAAGTACGTTGATTGTTGGCTTCACACGTTGCCCACTAAAGATAAACCGAACGATAGGCCCAAAATGATTTGTATTACATTTATCCCTCATTACTAGTTCAGACTTGAGGCACGTTTTAGTAGTTTCATTTAGCCGTTTTTCTATCTAACCTACTCACAACCTCATACCTAATACATAAATCAAGATTCTTTATAAAATTGAAATAAATATTCTCTCGGCCGAGCCGCTACACACTATCACAAATAAAAAACTGACCATTTTTCAATGAAAACTCAAAACAGTGAAAAACAAATGGTAAACGCTTTGGTTTTTATATCTGTTAGGACGACTGTGATTTAAGCAACAAAATTTGCTATAGAATACTCCCGCGCGTAAGCTGAGCACCAATCCCAAGCAGTACGTTTCAGAATCATGTATTCTGCATCACAGGTAAGCAGTTTTAACCAACAGTGTGTGAATATTACCACGAGTCAAAATTACCAAAAACGCCAGTTTTTTCAATTTTCATTAAAAAAAAATTGTCAGTCAAGATTTTTGGTTGTTACCAATTCATACACTAAAATCGATATTAATGTCTAAATAATATTTTCTGCATTGATACAATGACAAAAATTAGCTCTGATCCAGCAACATTTTCGTTAAGGTGTTACACTGGACCTTGGTCAACAATACCCACAACTGAAAGGTAAGAATATACGTAAACATAAGTACAACGGTGTCATGGAAATCATGATATTGCGAGTCGTTCCTGGAATGTTTGTTTAGAAAAATCAGAAACGCAAAATTAAGTAAGATTTTAAGTAAGAAAACGTGCACACAAACTTAAAGTAACTGCCCGGTTATATAAATATTATATAAGTTCGTTTTGTGTACAAGTTTTTAACTTTGAACACTTGTGGACTGATTTCACGCATCGTTGGGTATAGTCTTCGTTTTCGATTATAAATAGCAAACTTAACAATTTAATACTTTTGGGAGTCACAGCCTATCTAATATTAGATAGTTTTCAATATAAATCCTCGCCATTTTCCATGTTGGATATCAGCTTCTTCTTATCGTCACTTTTATTTTGTATGCATGGCAGTTTTGGTGGCTCGAAACAGGGCTACAAATTCGGAATCAGCTTGATTTTTCGAAAATTGTAAACACTTACCGTTTCGCATATATTCATGTTGCAGCAGTTCTCAATAGTAATCTCACACTGCTCTGTTGCGGGTTGTTGCATATATGTAAGAGGAGTGACATTCTTGTTTACTATAATGCGCTTCTTGATTCTTGGTCTTCTGCGCAAGAAGCACGTATATGCCGAGAGAATTATAATAATTACTAACATTGTAATCGCTAGACAGGACATCGCCAGGAACGCATTGTCCTGGAAATGGTCGAAGAACACCTTTGGCTCCTCCTTCGACAACAACGGAAGCGAAGATAGGTTGCTTTTTGGGATTTCTGCAAAACCATCCACACACCTGCAACAACAACCGTTTGATTATTGTTCATAATTTCAACAAAATGGTGCACCACTGCACTATACATAGATTCGCTGAACTCACCTGCATATGACAGTTTCTTTCGAGATTAGAACGTCATTCTTGTGTGTCTGGCAAAAAACGTTACAGATCTCAATAGTGCTTTCTTCGCATCTGTTCCCAGTGAAGCCGTCTGGACAGCTGCACGTAGCGAACACTCCCGATTCTGTGACTCGTGAGCAAACGCCCCCATTCAAACAATAATTGTCACACACGTCCCTCTCGCATCGTTTTCCGCCAAAACCACGCAAGCAGCGACATTGCGGATATCCGAGAGACGATGAGTAACACTCTCCATGAACACAGTAATTATGGCAAAGAGAAATTTCGCAGTTTTTCCCTGCGAAGCCTCGTAAACAGTGACAAACATTGGAATCCGTTAAGTACCCTCCATTGAAACAAGTTTCTTCATTTTCTAGCTCTACATCTGATTCCTCCTTGAATACTTCAACAACGGATTTGTTGTAGCTGGCTACAGCTTTTGATAGTACGTCGCAATCGGGTAGAGTTTTAATTTGTACGTTTTTGGTAATTATGCCCATGGGTTTGCCTTTAAAATGGCGTATTTCTTTAGGAACTGCTTCTTTGTCATGCTTTGACATCATCCAGAGGATGTTATTGTTGAGATCAGTCCAGTAGATTGCTTCAGAGTCGACAGCTACACCAAAGGGCTTTACGTGGGTTCCTTCGTATACTACTTGACGTTCTGATCCTGATAAATTAGTGCTTTCTAAACTGTAGTAGATGCCTTCTTTGATATCCGTCCAATATAGTCTTTGTTCCGTGTAATCTATCGCAATGCCAATTGGCTTGTGGAGGCCAGAATCCACTAGAATCTCATGTTCTGAACCGTCAAGTCTCGCTCTCTCTATTGAAGGTCTGTTGATATCCGAATTTGTCCAATATATGTACCTACAATTAAAAAATTAAGTAACTCTGAAATAACAAAGACAGATATAGATTACCGATGACAAATATCGATAGCGACGTCTTGAGGAATCCCATCTGTAAACGCAAAAAGAGTCTTTGGTTGATAATGGGAATCATTTAAATATACATAATTAATAGTTCGATTAATTGAATCGGTCCAATATAAAATATCAGTAATGGGATCTATTGCTAATCCCTAAAATCACACCGTTTAGATCTATCCAATAGCGGACCTCGCTGCCGACTGACCTGAACATCATCTGGAAGATCTTCGATGATGGGCGTAATATCAGTCTCTTTAGTAAGTTGGACAGAGAAAATAGTGTCATTCTGTTGGTCCATATCACTGACAATGAACTGGTGTCGTACATTGTCGAAAGTCAAAGCTTTTAGTTTTGTAAATTCGTAAAAATGTTCGAACGGTTCCCCCGCCAACGATCCATTCGACAATAACAATTCAATTCTGTCGTCAGTGACCACCGCTAGCTCTGCAACAAAAGAATCAAAAATTAATATAAATTAGAACCTTGACTTCGTCTACTACTTATTCATTGGGGTAATCAGATTAGTAAGTATGCAAATTTTAAGTCTGTTACGTTAGTTGTACGCAAGAGCTCTACGAACAATGAAAATGAAAATTCAGCGGGTTAATAAAAATGCAGATGAACTTAATTGCATTAAAAATTTGTTCAAGAGAATGAGTTAAAGTGCTAACGACTCCTCAATTTAAGTTGCGTTTTAAGTCGGCGTGTGTATTGTAGAAATAATTTCAATGCCATAAATGATTGAACGATTTTTTAATTTCGCATAAATTAGAATGTATATAGTACGATTTTATGAGGTGTGCGCTGATAGAGATTATCATTCAGATTTTACATGGTTGAATATCTTTCCTATTTTTTGTATTTTCAATGTCACGGTAATCTATTAAAGTCTTATCAAGCGACATTCATAATAGCGAGTTTGTCAAAAATTAAGTGTCTGTAATTCCACTTCCATCCTTGTGTCACGTATGTTTTCAGTTTTGACAAACAGGGACTATTAACTTAAAAATTTACAACATTGGTGTACATGTTATCTTTTTTTTTACGAGACGTTATAATCGTAATATTGTTATTTTCGGTTTTTTACAATTAAAATAATGGCAACTGTTTTCGATTCAAACTAAAAAACACATAGAACAACGTAAAATAGTTAATATACACCAAGGGCACAGCCTTGGGCATAAATTAACAAGCAAATGTTCTTATTCTGAACAATTATTTTAAATTAAGAAAAAAATGGGGAAGATTTTTCTTAAATAAAAGCATTTTTAAGTAAAATTGTTTTATAGTGCATCAACAAGAATAGTGGTTTTACGATTTTGACTGTCAATGAAAAAAGCAGCTTGTTAGATGCAAATTTAATATTTTTTAATTTATGGCACGCTTCTCCTAATCAGGATCCGCTTATCTTTGGCTGTTTATTCACAAACGAGGACTTGGAAAAGTCAAAGCCACTATTTTCATTGGTTCACTATACCATATGATGACCGCAAACTTGGTTACTAAAAACGTTCACAATATTTAAAATAGTCGAGATAAGCTTACTACTTATACAATTTCCACAAATATGTAGCATATTCCTTATGATACCACATATGCCAAGAGATGTAGCAATTTTTATTACAAGAATCCAAAAAATACTTTTATTTTTTAACAACACTTTCTACTTTAACATCGTTATAAAATTGATTTCTAACATATATTGCTTTCTCACATCTAGTGATCTGTGAAATTTAAAATTGTTGCTGATTTGCCGCTTCTTAGTAATGCTAGACATTTTTAAACTTTTATCTAATATGGTTAATACGTCATCTGTCAGAGTAATTATGACATTTGAACTGTCATTGCGCCGAAAAAGTTTCAGAAAGAGGCGGAACAAATCAGTACCCACTTTATCGGTGGAGATAAAGGCTGAATATAATTATCGCAACATGTTATCAATGCAAGCAATTTTTTCGATTTTGTATAATCCGATTTTTTTAATAGAACTGTTAAGATCTTCATTTAGTGTCACGTATTTGCATTATCAGCTGTCTTGTTTTTGTTTTGTTGACAGTATCTGTGATATAAACCATCTATCAAACGCAGATATGCGGTTAAAACTGTCTTTAAAAAATGTATGTACGTCGAATAACAAGCAATCAGCGTAGATAAAAATATGCATTTTATACGACGTTTCTCAAACACTTCAGAGTAGTAGTGCAGCATGAGATTTATAATTCTGCGCAGAAGACGTGACTGAATTGACTTAAATTTGTATCCAATATTTTTAAACAAAATTGAAATTTATATAAAAACAAGCAGAAGTGATTATAATTGAAAAAAAAGTCGTCTAGTAAGCTACGGAATTTATTTAGTAGTTTTATGACATACCGTTATTCAAAAAATGTTTTTTGAATATAAAAAAAAAATAAAATTTTACTTTTTAATGAACTAATTAAGACAGACGTCTGTAAAAACAATTTAAACCGTTTTTTGATTTTGTATTTCCCTGATATCCGTCCCAATGACGTTTAAATGACATTGAAAAATTGGAAATTCCTGGTAAACGCATTTTTAAAATCGAAAATATATATTATTCGGGGAAAATACTGTATGAGAACCAACAACGTAAGCAATTCTACTCGGCTACTAATAAATGACGTTTCCTATCTTGGATTTGCCACGAAGATAAAAACAACGTTTACGATTTTTTCCGTTGATTATACACAATTAGCACATTAATAATTTAAATCAGACGGAAAAGTTGACACTAAAACATACTTTTTTAAAATTAAGCAGTATTTACATATACTGAAACAAAACAATCAGTTTCATTACGATAAAGCATGTTCTAATCCCCAACTTACGAAAAATAACAAAACCTAAAAATCGATCATGCCGCTGATTGATTTAAACAGATTAGAAGTTTCCGAAGATACCAGGCTACACAAATAAATCCTCATGAACCTAAAATTAATACAAATTGTACGTCATATCGTATTATGAATTGCGACTTGTGTTTTTACCTATACAATTATCGCGTGTGCTTAATAAATGCATACACTGGATCATATTCACAAATTTTTGCAATCTTGTTGAGTCAAACTTAATAGAATGTACTAGTCATCCAACAAAAAATTCAGTGATCTCGTAAAATAAAGAAGTTTATTTGCATTACAAACATTATTCTTGTATGAATAAGCAGAAAATTATACTACAGATCCGCTTGTTAACATGTCATTTATATTCCACAGATAATTCAAAATTTAGATTAATTCGATCGCCGGAAGAAATGTGCTAATAAAAAAATTACGACACGCACTCTGGTATCAATACAAGTTTTACCACTTCGCCGGCTACGGACGGATCTTGACAATCTAACTATATTAAAAAATCCGGTGGTGTAATAACCGCAGAAAAAATTGTTGTGTGTGGTCGAATATGATAAAAATAGTCAAACTTGTATTCGCGCGTAATCCTTCGACCTTCGAACCAAAACCGATACATTAGATGATAAGCGAACCCATTTGTTATCTCACGTTATACAAACGCGAATTTGATCAATCAACTAAATATATCTAATAAAAACACTATAGTTAGTAATTAACTACGATTTTATTCACGAACATTAAAATAATGGTGACTGTTATGTAATGATTTTTTTTAAGCAACAGACGTCAGGAATTGTTTATACAAAGTAAAGTAAATTCGTGGATAAGAAGTTCCCCAATTTAAATAAATAATTAAGAAAGAATTAACTGATCGAAACATCTAACAAACTGTTCAAATAGTGCGCCTGCGCAGAGTGAGCTTTAAATCGATGAACCACGTGCTTTTCGACGTGCAGAGAGTCACGTAGACACTGCAAACTTACACCGGCGGAAAAAGCTCACCAAACATATTTATTTACTCAATAGCCAATACCACACATAATCTACTTGTAAGCAAGTTATTTGCATAGGGTGTGAAAATGGAAACGTCGGACTCGCAATCAAAGAAATTTCCTTCCAGTAATTGAATTCCGTACTCATCTATTTAAATCAAGAGTACAGCATGAGAGATCTATTAAAAGCGAGATCATTGACTTGAGTTAAGCAGGGTAACGTGACGTCACTTATTAGAATATAACCGTATGTGCAAATATTTTAGGAACCATTATCGCAAAACGTGATATCCCCCTAACCACCTGATGTTACACGAACTTGGTAACATCGTAATTCTCAAAATGTAATAAAACTTCCAAGTTATTAAACCGCCTGATTGGAGTGATAATGACTGATCATTCCTCTGGGGGATCATTTTTCACGATTTCTCAACTATGTCGACCCCAAGGTCCAATAATAACATTGAAAGGACCTGCAGAATCGCAAAAAGAAACTAACTTCCTAGTGTAATTAACGTTTTAGTTCCGTTTTTCCCTCGCATAAATAATTTATTTGGGTTTTTAACTAACATGATCCAACCTTGTAATAAATAATCGATGTAAAACATAATTTTTAATAATAAAAAGTAAACCAAGCCTGATTAAACACCAACTTTCAAGTTCAAACTCAAATGAACCGCAACCGTAAAAAATGTCTTTGTTCGTTTTGGTGGATGCGCCAGAATAATGAGTGATTCATCTTTCAAACTTATTGTTGCGGAATGACTTCCATTAATTCTCGATGTGTGTGTTCTGGGTAGTAATTATTTGACACCAGTGAGGCGCAGAAGTAGATATAGCGAATTTGTTAAACAAAGTGCAGAAATAATCTCCTGATTGACATTGACGCAGTAATTAAAACTGATACACTTATTAAAACCGATAATACGCTTGAGAGAAAAAACACATCGATGTAAACATTGAATGCATTTAATATAATAAGTAAATGGTTGCAGCGGAAAGTAGCCAGGGTCGGGCAAAAAAATTCACCAAAATTATTCAACCAGGAAGGATGAATTTAATTGCAACGATATGAAGTCAATAACTTCGTTCGAATTCCTCGATCGTCTGGTCAAAGTCAAATTTGGGTCGGTTTGCAATCACGCATATTTTTTTTTTGGTCCACTGAAAGTAAGACGCCTTGGAGGACATTTTCACATAGTTTTTACAGAAAAATATAGATGAGGCAATGTCATACATTTAAAACGCATCAATGGTAGTGATTTCGTGTGACGTCATTCGGCAACTAACTATACTTCATTTGTCGTAAATGTGTGTATTTATAGTAAATTAGTCTGTGGTAATAAACTTTACATTAGTAGAGGCTAAATGAAAGCACGGATGAAAGTATACTTGAAAGAATGTGTGCCACTGTTTTAGTAGGTGTCCAATTTTTTTTTATAGCAGCCACAGATGTGTTATTATTACGTTTGTTAAACAACAGATTCTTGACTCCTATCCATTATCTGTACCCTGCTATCAGTGTTATTGGAAAATCCACAACATAATTAGAATGAAAACAAAGTTAGTGAAACGCCAAAAAGCATTTTTGTGCACAAAAAAATGAATTTGGATAAAAAAAATCGACTAATCCATCGAGATCTCTATTTCAGTATTAAGTGTTTGCATATCGGTCGTCTAAGATTTCGTTTCTGTGACAAAATCTCTGCTATCAATCTAAACTATCGAAAAACAGACGTGCTATTGAGACCACTTCTAAATAAATGACAAATAGGAAGCACACAATAAATATGACTACGTGCAGGCGAACGTAACATCTTTTTCATGTAAACCAACAATCAAAAGTGCCTTAACTTAGCTAATATTTAAATATGGTGTAATTTAAACTCATATTTGTGAATTGTGACATAAACTGTATTTACCTACACATTAAATTAATTTTTACAACTACAGAGGCGCCAAATGGTTAAATAAATTATTCTTGCAGAATTTTCACTATTAACTGGGACTTAAAATGTCACAATACTACGAACACACATTAACATTTGTTGTCATTTTCTTGTCACTGTTTATTCGTGTGATATTGACCGCATAGTTCCCATCTATTGTACGTATAAACAAATCAGACGACAGTTGTTTAACATTGTCTCTACTTCATTAAAAAGCGGGTCGAGTTGATTAACACGAAAATAAAATTCCAGTTTTACCCACTGCATCCTGAATACACAGTAAATGACATTCTTTAAAAAAAAGGAATCAGAGCGGGTCATGATTAAAAGTTTGCAGTTGGCCATTTTGACCCCAAAGCTGATACTTTACTTATAGTATGCCAACTTCGCTTGTTTTAACTTAAAACAAGCAAAGCCGCTAACATAGTTTTATATTTATAAGTGGATCTCAATGTGTTGTAACTTAAAATCTACAACGGCTGGAAGCTGGAAAATGGGTTTTTAGCCAAAAGTAGCATGAAAAAATAGCTGAAATTTGAACTAAATTACATCCTATCAAGATTAAATTTTATTCGGGAAGATTTTTTTGTAAAACCAAAGTCCAAAGCTACACAAATCCTATATAATGTAATTCCTGCTAATCTAATGACGTACTTGAAACAAAAATGGTATAAGCAGATTATTTTGATGTATGTTGTATCGTGTATATCACCTGATGTTGACTATTGGACAAGCTCATAACAGGATCTGCAATCTATTTACAATTTCTCCTGACTTTTTACGACGAACAGAAAACAAATGATTGTTTTTTATTTACGCTTGTAACTCAGTGTAAAAATTGCGTGCACACTTTCAGTAAAAGTGTACTTTTTCACACGCTCATGTTGACACGTCCAATTTGAACGTTTAAAATGCTTTTTAATTGCAGCAGGAGAAATTTATATAAATTATTGTCAATAAAATCTGACGCTTGGTATGTTTGCAAAGACACAAAATTTAATTGTGCTAGTAATGGTGTCAATAAAAAGTCGTCTTTTTATACCCAGCGGATTTTCAAATATTCGATAGTTCTGCAAAAATTGCGCGCACACTTGCAGTAAAAGTAAGTTTTAAACACCATCACGCTGACACGTCCAATTTGAATGTTCAAAGTGCTCCTTTAATGACAGTAAGAGAAATTTACATAATTATTGTCAATTAAATCTGACGCTTTTGGTTAGTTTACAGCGACACAAAATTTAATTCTTTCGTTGTTAATAGTGGCTTCTTTTTTACTTTTTATAACTAGCCGTAATAAACTACACATTTTTTATAGTTTTCAAGTTAATATATTACAAAAAAGAAAAATTCTGCTCTCCATGTTTCAGCATACATATTAGATATAGGTCATTCCAATTCGAAACAGGTCCAATTCCAATACCAACTTGGACTCAGCAATTGTTAAATATTTCTTCCAGTTTATTCTGTCAAATAATAATAATACTTATTCGTGCGACCACACACCACGATACTTAGCTTTTCCAATTAAATTTAAATACAATGACGTATACATTCATTCCAATTAAGTAACATTAAAACAAACCCAACGCGACAGCTAAAGACAGTACACGATCACCGAACCCATGATATTTCCGATAATTAAAAAAAAACTTAACAATACATAAAATTTGGCGAATTACATTCACACTGTTCTAACGGATTTTATTACTCGTTGGCGAAACCGCAAAAATGTTTATGTAATAGATTCACCGCAAGGGAGGTTATATCGTACACTTTTAGAGCACACACTCATAGAATATAAATCATGGAAATGTGATAAAACACGTGTGCGATAATTATTACCTAACGTTACTTATTACAGATTAAAATTTTCTCAATGAAATAGCTGGGTTTTTACCACGATTCCCGGCGAAAATTAACGTGACACGAGTCCGCATTATGTAACCATAATTTAATTCGGAACTTTCATCGAATTTCGCCCCGCGATATATTAATACAGGCAAAATTTTCTCTAGTGTTAGGTGTACGTGACGATTAGGAGAATCCTCATGGCGCGCGAAATCGTGTTAAAATCGCGCTGCGATTTCTGACTTACCCCAATGGTGATTCTCCTCCTGGGCGACCGAAAACTGGAGAACAAATAATATGACACTTAGTTTGATAAACATTTTTCAAAATAATTTAACGGTTAAAACTATAATAATTTCTTTACGGTGTCATTAAAACACGTGAAGCCGTACTGCGCTCGAGCAAAATGCTGCCGTGCCGGAGAATCCCTTTCCTATATTTCCGAGTAGTGAAACGGTCAACTCTTTCTAGGGAACGGCTTGGCGCATCTATCGCGCTTTGTCGGCGAAATTCATCGTCCATTGACGTGCGCGAGAGAGGGCGCAGGTGGGATGGGTCAGTTCACGTAACAATTAAAATGGACTTATCTCTGTGATGCATTATTATCAGTTAGAGGCATTTTACAGTGTTATATAACGTCTTATTGCATTCTAGGATTGCTAAAATATTTTTTTTAATGCAGCAATAGTCTTCAAAATAAAAAAATAACAATGAGTTATTTTTTTTATTGTTTAATCTTTGATTGAATTGTTTATTGTGAGCGATGACTTTTTATGTCAAACTTAAGTCGCATATATCACGTGATGCAAATTATGCTTATCGTACCAAAACGAACAAAAAATTTCAAAAGTATATCAGTAAACCCTGACTTAAAACTAAATAAGTATCATTTAACTGAAATTAATTCAATTAAATTATATGATTATTATAACAAGCGATCAAAAAAACTCTGATTACTTGTTGATTGTTTTTGTCACTAAAACGTGAGGTTATAACGAAGTGTTAATGTGTTTTTTTGAATAATAAATTTGCAACAACGATGAGAATGTTCACCATCGGCTTCGAAACGTTTCCTAGCCCGCGCCAGAACGAAACACGGAAATCCAAACGACAGATGTTTTAGCGACAGTGAAACTGGTCTAGTAGGTATGGTGGTGTGAGCTGAAATTTAATAATAGTGACACCAACAATTATTGCGCAAAAGAAAGGAGACATACAATTACGTATTCAATAGAATATACTTCTTCTTATTTTCTTAATGCTGCACGCAAACAAGTCGATATCAAGTGAATTACTCTCTCTTGTTAACCTAGCTACTACTACGGGGAAGAAGAACCCATAATTTGTTCTACGAAGTTGCATGAAGAAAATTGGATTATTTCATTTCTTAATATCCTCTGGGGACAATTGCGACCAAAAAATTCCAGTATTTCAGGACAGCACATTTTACCATTGAATAATCTATTAATTCATTCATTTTTATTTTTCAAGGCTCTCCATTGTTAAATGTTGTCTGATTAGTGGTAATTGTACTCCGATAATACATTTTCCGGGCGCAGTTTAGAATAAAAACATTGATGGAATCTTCCTGTTTCCAATACGTGTTGAATGCTTTAGATTTAGACTATAGACATTGTGTTGAATGTGTGCAAAACTAAGTTTAGGAGCAAATAATACACCGAAATCCCGGATTATAAAGACTTCTTTAATGAATATCCCATTAACATTATAATGGAAACGAATGACATTTCCTATTCTACAAAAAGAAAATTTGTAGCACTTGTCCGTCGTATTTTTCTGTGCAGCAGAGTGGAGGGTGTCTACGAAAATAATGGTTTTATGATTTTGCCTTTTCCAAACCTCTCGTTTGCGAAGAAAGAACATCTTAAAGCGTTTATGACTATGACTTCATAAGCATTTTAGGGCATCTAATAAGACGCATTATTTCTTGACCAGGTAGGCAAAGGAGGAGTCAAAGTCGTAAAACCACTGTATTTGCTGACGCCACTTACCTGAAAATCTTTGTAAATCCTCAAGAAATACGAGCATTTTAGAATGTAACATATTTTAGGATATCATTGATGAATAAATTAAACAGAAGTGGGCCACAGTGGCTGCCCTGAGGCACCCTTGATTAAACTAATATCGAATAATCTGAAAGGTAATTAACGATCTTACAAACTGCAACTTATTTGTAATAACACTGTTTATCCAGTTAACAAATAAATCATCGAAGTGCATTGTTTTTAATTTATACACTAAAATTTTGAGACTGATTCTATAGAAGGTCTTAGTGAAGTTTTCATAAATGAGACCCACCTGTTTATCTTCTTCGAGGGCATTAATGATACAATTTTGGTATCGTAACCGTGGTATAGTGGTCCAACTCTGACTTCGTTTTTATGGCACTGCAATCTCAATTACCGCAAGTATTAGGAACTCTATTGAAAATGTAAATAACCATGCCATAAATCATCTTAAAGGTTTACGGGCCCATACGGCCCTGTGTAGTGTACAGTTGGTTCCTTGATGGTTTATGACCGCTGGATTACTTGCGGGAGAGGCCTATTGTGGAAGACTTAACTCCTTCACAATAGGATACAGTCATAAAAACGAATCAGCAATTGGAGCACTATAACTGCTAACTGTGAATAAAATTTTAAAAACCCGCGAAAAATTTCTGGAGGAAAAAACAGTTTTAGGATCTGCCAGCCAGCACACGCGATACGCGTGTTTCGAGGCTTACTTACATCCCGCAAAGGAGGCAGCACGAACTAGGTGGAAATTGGTAATTGCAGCTACACATTCCCGTAGCAATGGCGTCACACCGTCTCCACCAAGCAATCTTGTGCTTTTATTTCTATAAGACTCCACCTTTCCCGAATTTATAACGACAACTGAATGAGTATTACAAATACAAGAAACGAAGCAACCAACAATAAATTACGCCACACTCTATCAACAACTTTAAACGACAAAGAATTTATAGGAGAATAAATTACGCGGAGTTACTGATTAAATCGAAATACATTCACGGATTTCTGAAACCCCACATCGCATACACAAAAAAAACAGATATTCAATACAATCAAAATCACAATAAGCTGGTCCCGGAAACGCTGCGCCCTAGAACACCGCCGTCGAGAATAAATGTTCAAATTCAAGCCGCAAAAAACAATTGCTAGAGAGTAATTCGACCAGAAGGAAACTATTACACTTGTAAGAAAATATGAAAGTCCCCCCCCCCCGTTTTTTCGAGTCCTTGACGATATTAGTTTGACTGATGGAAGTTTCAAAGTTCCTGCTCTCAAAACGGATCAACCTTTAAGATCAGTTTAAACGCCATAAATCAACTATTAACAATCTCGAGTGAGAAGCTAAGAAGTGTCTTGCATATAACACTTTCGTAAAAACATCCAGAACTTTTTATAATTTGATAAACAGAAGAGTAAAGTCTGCAGAAGTGAATTTCCTGACACGTGCTTTAGACGAACATTTAAAAATCTTAACATGAACTTTGAATTTACAAACAATCAAACAACAATAACACGTGCGACGTATCGCTAATTTTCTACACATTTCAGATTAGAAAATCATTAATAATACTTAATGGATTTCGCTTGCTGGAAGAAAACCGTGGTGCCGAACGCAAGTTACAATTTCACATTGTTTAAATAATTGCCCTTGTTTGAAGTTACAAACTAAATTTGCACTACTCTTATTTTCACCACGTGTTTACACTCACAACAAACAAGTAACCAAAAGACCCTTTTCAAATGCGATTTCGCGGCATTGTTTACTCTTTTTTCAGCGCGAAATTTTGATTCAAACCGGGACACCACACAACGAAGTAAATTTTGAGGGACTAGAAACTGCGGTCATTGAGTCTTGAGGAGGTGTTTTTTTTTGTGTCGAATAGTGAGAGACTGTGACCTATAAAGTGTCGCCACTATCGATCATCGTACCGACCTGTAAGTACCTTAGGTGGACCATGCATTCTGTTAAGCTTGCTACTCCGAGAACGTACCATGAAAACCGCCACCGTGTTCCCTTTTTTATACCCACACGCGCGGTACGTCAAACACCAATAAAAACCGATAAGCGTCGCCGGTCGTGCTACCGCTGCTGCGCGATCCCCCCTTTTGGTGTACCCTTTCCATCCGATTCCAGTTTCAGCGTCGCCGCCTCCACAGCATCCAAAGCAGCCCCGTGAAGTGAGGTACCGCCACTAGGGAGGTGGTAGGACGACCGTGGCCGAATTTTATTTTTTCTTTCGTTTTTTATAGCCTGGTAGATTCGGTGAAATGTATTTGGAAATTAATGTACCTACAGTTAACTACTGTATTGTGAATAGGTATTAAATAACTTTTATTCCAAAATTCTGGAAATTTGTATCCAGAAAAAGGTTAAATAATATGGTATTAAAAAATTAAATGATCTTAGTTAAAGTGAAAATACAAGAAATTAAAAATTTCATTAAGTAGATAATAAACAGAAATTCTAATTAATAACACCAACTGTACAAATTTTGCTAAAGTGAGTTTTGGCAGCAGGATTGCTACATATTTAAAAAAAAAAGTTCACAACGTCGTTAAAATATGTTATACCGAATTATCATACTTCACATAACTTCCAAAACGACTTTGAATTACTATTAATTTCTTATTCAGTACGTTTTATGTACTCGTCATAACATTCGTGGGTTTTCATTTTTCACAGAGCTCTTACAACAGAAAATTCCTGATATAATAAGAAGGCTCAACAGCCTCGTTTATATTTTTGTTCAAGAATACAGTATCCTAGCTTACTTATCAAAGTTCATAATAAATTGATACTCACAAATGTAGTGTTATTAAAACTGTGGCAATATTCCGAGAAAACTGCACTGTTTACATTTTAAGCGTTCAGTAGGAAGTCTACCATAACATGATATATGGAAGAATAGTGGTACCTATTGTTTATCCTGCATCAGAGGATAATTAAAATAAAGTTCGTAAGCCTGCTCCACTTGTACATTGATAGTTCTACCATCGATTGAGAATATACTGTCCACAAACATCACTGTTTATCAGGCGAATCTTTACAGGTATACTTATTGCCATATTTATTACTAATAAGTTTAACTTTTAATATTTAAAAACGGTTCACCCTCTTTGCAAAAAAATCAAATTAAATAATTTGTGGAAAATTTCAGAAAAAAGGACCTGGTAGACTATTCTTGTTTTTGTATCATCATTTGTATTACAAAAAACGCTGTATCACAATGAACATACATAAATATAATACTTAAATCAACGAAAGTTTTAGTATTGCATAAGAAGTTCAAAACTTTATTGTTGTTATCTTATCTTATTTTATTATTATGTCGATGAAATGATAAAGTCTACACAGTGGAGGCTGATAATAATCGCTCAGAAAACACCGGTAGACATAAAACATAACGCTAACATGAGTACCTACATAGGTATTCCTATATATTAGTCAGGTTAGGAAAGTTACACTATACAAGACATTAGAATACATTTGCTCCCTTCATGGTGGCAAGCATTTTTTGAAGTTGTTCCTCTAATTAATCCTTTCTAAAACCAACAGAGTAGATAAAGATGCTGCTAAATTTTCTTAATATAGTGGTATAATAAAAAAGTTGAACGTTTTAAAAAATCACCTCTATATATTGATGTTTAACATGGTCTTATGTTGATATAATCTAACTTATATTTTTTATATCTCATTGTAATAAATGTAGCAGGCGCGGATCCAGGGGGGGGGCAATGGGTGCAATTGCCCCCCCCTGACACACGACCGAGGTACTTTATTTTGACCAATTTCAAAATTTTGAAATCGCATTTCATTTTGTAAATACAGTACCTACAACCTCTATAATCCGAATTCACGATTATCCGAACATCCGGTAATCCGAACAGAGGCTATTTGAAGTCGATGCTTCATTAATCCGAACAAAAACTCTGCAATCCGAACTGAACTTGGAAACACGCATCTACTTGCAAAAATGACGCAAGATCTTTTTACATATGTTGTATGGAATATTCTGAAATTTTTAAAAATTGCCATATTTCAATGCACTGAATTAATAAACTAATTCTGGAAAAAAGGTTGAAGTTATCGAAGAAATGAGGCCCGAAATCTACAAGAAAAGCTATTTAGCTAGCTAAATTTCGAAAATCGTCGAAAATAGGTCAAAATTTGCATGAGGAACATTTCATTTTTGAAAATGTTTCCTAAAAATTCTGAAAAAATTCGAGGATATATGTATATCCCGACGTGCTGATTCCAAAAATATAGCATGTTAATGGTAACTGAGCAATATTTTCGAAAATTCGGTGTGAAATTCGGATTTTTCGAAATTTTTAAAAATTGCCGTAAGTATTTTAACTGGTCGAATCTGGAAAAATGGTTTAAGTTATCGAAGAAATGAAGCCAGAAATGACTTCTGAGGCCAAAAATCTACAAGAAAATGTATTTAGTTAAATTTCGAAAATCGTCGAGAATACATAATGGAAAATTTCATTTTTGAAAAATTCGTCTAAAAATTCTGAAAAATTTCAGGGTATAGATCCCGGCGTGTTGATTCCAAAAAGATAGCGTGTTTATGGTCATGGAGTAATATTTTTTTAGAATGTATCTATTATCCAATGTTGCTTAAGATTAAGAATTCTTTAATTTTGTTTAATAAAATTAAGGTTTATTTCTTGAAGTTTGTTTTCAACTGTGTATGAAGTTGTTATTCAATTTCCTTACAGATTTTTGGGAAAATCGCCGATCCGAACAAATCGTTAATCCGAACACACCTTTTTCCCAATTAATTCGGATTATCGAGGTTCTACTGTACACTATACGTGTAACGAAAACAACCAAATGTCACCCATGTTATGTGAAAAAGAGTATACTAGTTAAAATTTTGTAAATTTTTTGATTTAGAAAGAATATCTGGGAGATAGGTAAAATCTCACAAAAATTGCCCCCCCCCTAAACGAAATCCTGTATCCGCGCCTGAAATGTAGCAAACAAACATTTAAAAAAGCGAAGCAAAATCCAGCTAACTTCATCACAGTACATAACTTTCTGTCATCTATACATAAAAGTTATGTCGAACAAACTCTAGTAATTTACTACGTAAACAATGTTATTCTTTTTGAAGAGCTCAGCAAAAAACTAGTTTTAAAATAATAATAATGAGACTTTAAAGTGCTTGTTTTAAATATTAAGCAAACATCATCATGAGAATACAAAAAGGGTGGGGAATTCACATGTTGCAACGTCATTATCATTACACTTCGTCAGCTGTAATCTTTTGTGTCTCCCATTCTCTTTTGACTATTTTTTCTTGTTTTCAGACGTCGTAAAACCTATCTGGAAAATTTATGAATTCACTCTTGAGTGATAAAGGATGTGCCCTACATTGCGTTATTCAATCTGTCTAGGTTTTCTTCTAAAATTGTAATCGCATAGTTTCTATGAAGTCAATCTGATTCTTAATGTTCTCTCGCTTTAGCACCTTTTTAGCACGTTCATTTATAAGTGGAATGTCCTAAAGCTTTCACGAAACTTCAGCTACCCTTTTTTTGTTATCTTTAATCCAATTCCAGTCTTACTATAATCCTTCTAATTTCTCTAATCATGTGTATTTATAACAGTGCCTATGCTTTCGAAGTGGCGCCATCATGTGGTTCAGTGTCGAAACCCAACCCTGAAATGTCAATGTCAGTAATGTCAACAAACAAATAAACTCACTCTAAATTTTTTGGACTCACTATACCAGACCCCTGTACATTTCAGCTTTTACTAACCGACCTTTTCCGCCCCCCATCGAGCCGCCCATGTGCGCCGCACGCATGCGTTTAGGAACATTTCGATTTATACACAATGTCCATGCGGTTGCGCGTTTATTTCTGTCATCTTAGCGTAGTTTTTGGTATTTTCCGTGAAATTTTTAGCAATTTTAAATTTTGTTACGGACGATTTGTGAGTGAAACCGTTAGTGCTCTAATTAAAACTTACACTTAAGGTAAGAATTAAGCTAGTTTGATTTATGAAACCCGTTCGCTGAATGTTTTACAAAGGAACAACCTGTTGTTGTGAATTGAGGTTATGAGTCTCATAATATTTTTTATGTCACTTTGTAGATCCTATAGATTTTCACCGTTGTTTCAATTTGATTGTTTAGTGAAATGTTAAAGTAATCACAATTTATGATGTATGATCCACACGAGTCGTCCCAAGGAGTAGTTTGTGTTGTGACGAGTTGTGTTTGTGCCAAATTTATGTGAAACTTCATCATTGACATGGATTTTTTTGAAATGGTGGCGGATTTCCAACCGGGGATGGGCGCCGCTAAGGGTTTCGGTGAGTAAAAATGTTTAGTTTTTCTATTATTTTGCACAATAGTGGACAGATAAATCAAATTAACGTTTCGTTAAATTATAACGGTATACTTGGTGTTTTTAATTATTTTTTTTTGGATTGTTGCAAAAGGCAAATGTACTTTTTTACTGTATAATACATATAGGCAAATCGTTAGTTTCAAAAAAAAAAGTTGGATATTCTAAGATTGATTTAACTAGGAACTTCTGAAACGTGCTTTTCAAAAAGTTTAACTGCTTTTTACAGGTAGGTACAAGATTAGCTAATATCAATAATATATTATAATAGTTCACTGATTTCTGAACTGTTCATTAAATATTAGCTTTATTAATGTTAGCTATTATCGTCATGAATGATTGCTTCATACGATTTTATTATTTGTTGCATAAAAGATACCTACCACATGCATGAAATTGCAGATTGAATGCAGCATGTACCTGTATTATTGACCCAGGTCCTAGCTATTTATCAAAGATAGGCAACCCCGCAGACCCGACGTGTCGTGCTGATTGCATAAACAACGAATCCCCAAAGCTACAGAATTCAAACAAACCTTTTACTGTAATTAAATACGCTTAAATATTTAAAAATTTACACAAGAAATACTGGCTGATGTAAATATTTTATTTCTTATCACATTTCTGAAAAGAAATGCTTTATTTGGTAGGTTTGAGTTCTGATTTTTTTACAACGCAAGATAACTAAGATTAAAAAAATTTCAGTGATGCGTATATGTATACGAATTCAAAATAATTTTGTTTACTTTGTGTTTGTCGCATTGTGTCGGGTTTGTTTTTGTTGATTTTCAATTTAAACACACCTGCAAGCACTGAAAGAAGAGATCTTTCATTCTTTTACAAAAGATGCCCCAGGTACTCTTCCTTTATTTAGTCATGATGATTGTGCCCCAAATATTTGAGTCAATCAGTTTTTTTTTCCTAAAGCTTATATTTGAGAATGCGGGCTTTATAAAATCTAAATTTATATTGGTCTGGGGAACATAGGGATAATTCATTCGGCGACTGGCTACTTTCATGACTACTTGATGTTTTGTGACCCTTGTTTGAATATAAAAAAATAAAAAAGTCAGTGTCGATATTTATTAAACAAATAATAATAAGATATAAAACTACCCATATGCCTCAAATTTTATTTATATTTGATGACGCCGACTTAAAATATTGCATGGTAAATGCTATTTAAATTTTATAAAATAACATTCATCAAAATAAAATTTTTAATTTTATCTTGGAACCTATAGAACATAAATTTTGTGAACACATTGATGATTAAAGCTTACAGAACTAAAATCGACCAAAATTCATTTTCCCCAACAAGTTGATGTCGTTATTAAAAAAAAAAATAAGTGTTTATTGAAAGATATGCTCTGACATACATTGGAAAGATATTTTGATTTTTAGTTTTTTAATGAAAAGTTTTATTGTATTTTCCTTAATTCTAGGAAAACGGTAATATTAGTTATTAGTATGCATTGAAATTAATCATAAAACGTTATTACGATAATTACACTCACATGAGTTGCTCGTTAATATGTGGCTTAATAATCCATCCTTATTTTATTTTAACATCATGGGGTTCTTATACACTTATAATTAACGAGCTTTTTGTAATATGCTAATTAACGTTGATGTAATTACAGAGCTTTGAGAAAGTTTAATTTTTATCCCCTCTAAAAAACGGATGGTGCCGTCTCAAAAATTATTAATTAGTGCTTTAACATGCTGCCTTGCTTGTAATTCAGTAACATTTTTTTAGTTTTTAAGATTGCCGTAGAAAATCGGTGCATCAACGGATTTATGTTTTTAGTTTTCTCACCGTTAACCTAGGTGTTACGTTGCACATATTAAAATAAATGTGTTTATGGTAAAAACAGGATTAAACAACCAGTGGCGGCTTATCCATGGGGTCAATTGCCCTCTAGAAAATAACCCCCTAAAAAAAAACTGAATAAAATATTTTTTTGGCAAAATTAAATTTGTCAGTTCGTAAAAATTGTACCATGACATGATAAAAAATCCAACAATAAGATAACAATTCTCATTCGCGGTTTCTTGGGTCAGTTTAAATATTGACCTCACGCGGAGTATTATACGTATACGGGAATGAAATAAACTTGTAGTAAAATTCCCTTAAAGCAGACAGAGTCAAATATAGCCCCATAACAAGCAACGTGGTCAATGACCATGGTGATTCTATAGTTCACAGAAACTTTCTGGGAGGGTGTTAAATTATTAAAAATTTTTGTGCATATTACGTGTTTGCCAATTTTGAAGAAAATAAAAACATTTTAACGGAATAATTGCGACAAAAAAACAATTTTAAGTATTGTGAAAAACTGTGGGTTATTAACCATGCGGTGAGCATTTTTCAAACAGAAAACACAGAAGAATTGAGTCGAAATTTAAGGCGTTTAAAAAAAATTTGCATTCATATGTGTATATAAATTGACCCACCTTTTATTAATTGTCAGGGTGATGTAAACTAGTTGCGAATTATGAAAAATTTACAGGAATAATAAATTAATTAAAACTTTGTCACACGGCGTTCCACGTCGTAAAAAGAACAACGCCACATATTACATATATGTGTTTACCGTGTTTGCAAATGTTATGTTGTGCATTTCAGCATAACATCAGATCGTTTAGGGTCAGTCGCAACTTCTTTCATGTGAGTTACCCATCTGTAAAATTATAACATCAAGGAAGCCACAGTGTGTAAAAATAGGGTTTTTAATAATGTGGCGCAACTAAGGAAGCAACTGTTATTGCATTGTTTGAAATAATTGTTGTTTCGTAGGCAACCAGGAATACATCCGTGCGCATCAATAGAATACGTAGGAACAATCGATTATTTTGGCATATTTTTGGCAAGTCTGGTTGCGGTAGTTTATGTGTATTATTTGGTGGACAAATGTTCGATGAAAAAACACAAAATTTTCCGTTCTTTTTCAGTGCCAGTATTTTTTTTTTTAATTTTATGACTCAGGATTTTACAATGAGTCATCAGTTTCTTGGTGGGGATACACATATTAATTTTGGTATGACCAATGTAACGCTGTTGCTGTTCTCAATATTGACAGGAATTGAACTAGGTGTTTCTAAAATAAAATAACTGTAGAACCTAGATTAATATGCATAATATGGAGAAAAGAAACAAACAACCTTAAAGAAGGATGAGCTGTTTTTTTACTGTGTACTCCTAAATTAAATTTTGTTATATGTAATTTAGATCTTTTCACGTGACATGTTGTTAAGAGGGCATATTTATAATCCATTTCGTAGTATTATTAGTAAGAATTGAAAAAAAAAAAATAAAAATAAAACAACTGTCTCAACAACTTTCGCATGTATAGGTAAAATAAAAAAGTCATATTTAGAAATGTCGGGAAATTAAAAGATATTTAAAACGATTTAAGCAGAAAAAGGTACAGAAACATATGAATCCTGTTTTTAGAAGTAAATAATCGGTAAAATGAATTGCTTGACTCAATTTTTTCACAGATGTACGAGTAGTTTAAAGCTTTATTTTGATTTTATGTGATCTTAAAAAACGAAGCGGATGGTTTTGTGAGCACTTTGTATAACTCGGCAGAATACAAAGAAACCTTAAAAATTCAATTAATACTTCGATGTAACCTTAGATTTGAAATCACAGCAGTTCTATATGATTTAATGCTATTACAACATGCGTAGAACGGATTATTAAACTAATTAGTCGAGAACGTTAATGTTTAGTAACGCGCCAGCAGAAACAGTGCATTTTAGTACAGGAAACCTGCATTTTCGTGTCCTGCGAACGTTATGAAAACACGAAATTAGCAGAATTTTTTTGGTGTGTTATATTCCACGCAGAAAAGGCTAATGAAGGGATAATGGATTTATGCTGCCATTAGCGTGGGGGTGGTGTATCAAATTTTTGCGGTCTGTTAATTTGAAATTGGTGCTAATGTGTGTAATCAGCACATAAACGTTAAGCCGCATTAAACAGGTCGCAGTAATAGGAGTCCCGGAATCCCTCTGTCGATGTCGAACATTCCGCGCCCTCGTTGAAATATCCTGACATATGCGCGACGCCGTCCTCTGCCGGCGCTCCTGTTCGACATAAGCTGCGCACAACAGATCCCCTGTCAGTAGCCTCAAACTGTTTTAAAGTGCATTTAACTCGAACACTAGCAGTTTTTATTTTTTACTTCAGTTTTCGTATGTCTCCCCGGACTTTTTTTACGTAATGTCGTTGGAAGGATTTTTCGCCAAATCTTCGCCAGTTTCGTCATCGTTCAGTGCTGTGTTTTTTGGACTTTTATTTTTTTTGTTATCAGACGTGAGTGACTTTAGGTTGCGACCTGTAGCATCACGGATTTAAACTGCCTTGAGACAAAGTAAGTCAAATGTTTGTTTTTGTGACGGCTTAAATTAGGGATTTAAAGTTTACTGTTCAGTATT